GCGAAGTCTATGTTGCCTGGAAACGCAAAATCCTCCATGACGTCATTGGCGCATACCAAGCATATATTCCGAGAGAGAAAAATTTATGAGGCCTCGAATTTCGCAGCTGGCAAAGATCACACCCGAGGTTAGCAAACTGCGCGCTCGCGCAAGACGAGATTATAAAGTCGCTACTCTCCGAAAAATATCTACAAAGGGAGACTGACTTTGATCTTCACTTGAGAACTGTCGCTGTTGTCACAGTTGTCACCGTTGTCGCTGTTGTCACCAATGTCAGTGTTGTCACCGTTGTCACTATTGCCACTGTTGTCGCAGATGTCACCGTTGTCACTGTTGTCAGCGTTGTCACTGTTGTCAATGTTGTCACTTTTGTCACTGTTGTCACCGTTGTCGCTGTTGTCACCGTTTTCACTGTTGTCACTGTTGTCGCTGTTGTTATCATTGTAGCTGTTGTCACTGTTGTCACCGTTGTCGCTGTTGTCACCGTTGTTGCTGTTGTCACTGTTGTCAGTGTTGTCGCTGTTGTCAGCATTGTCACTGTTGTCACCGTTTTCACTGTTGTAAGTGTTTTCCCTGTTGTCACCGTTGTCACCATTGTCACCGTTCTCAGTGTTGTCACTGTTGCACCGTTGTAACTAGCTGTTGTCGCTCTTGTCACTGTTGTCACTGTTGTCACCGTTGTCACTGTTGTCACAGTTGTCAATTGTCACTGCTGTCAGTGTTGTCACTGTTGTCACCATTGTCACTGTTGTCATGGTTGTCACTGTTGTCACCGTTGTCAGTGTTGTCCTCATTTCCCCGGTTGTCGCTGTTGTCGCTCTTATCACCGTACTCATTGCTCTCACCATAGTCACTGTTGTCACCATTGTCACTGTTGTCGCTGTTGTCACTGTTCTCTTTGTTGTCGCTGTTGCCACTGCTGTCAAAGTTCTCACCATTGTCGCTGTTGTCACTGTTGTCGCTGTTGTCACTGTTGTCACTGTTGTCAGTGTTGTTGCTGTTGTCACTGTTGTCAATATTTTCACCGTTGTCGCTGTTGTCACTGTTCTCGCTTGTGTCATCTTTGTCACTGTTGTCACCGTTGTCGCTGTTGTCACTGTTGTCACTGTTGTCAGTGTTGTTGCTGTTGTCACTGTTGTCAATATTTTCACCGTTGTTACTGTTGTCACCGTTGTCGCTGTTGTCATCGTTGTCACTGTTGTCACTGTTGTCAGTGTTGTCGCTCTTGTCACTGTTGTCACTTTTCTCAACATTGTCGCTGTTGTCACTGCTGTCACCGTTGTCACTGCTGTCAGTGTTGTCGCTGTTGTCACCGTTGCCACTGTTTTCATCGTTGTCACTGTTGTCACCATTGTCACTGTTGTCACCGTTGTCAGTGTTGTCCTCATCTCCCCGGTTGTCGCTGTTGTCGCTCTTATTACCGTAGTCATTTTTGTCACCATAGTCACTGTTGTCACCATTGTCACTGTTGTCGCTGTTGTCACTGTTCTCATTGTTGTCGCTGTTGCCACTGCTGTCAAAGTTCTCACCATTGTCGCTGTTGTCACTGTTGTCGCTGTTGTCACTGCTGTCACTGTTGTCACTGTTCTCGCTTGTGTCATCGTTGTCACTGTTGTCACTGTTGTCGCTGTTGTCACTGTTGTCACTGTTGTCAGTGTTGTTGCTGTTGTCACTGTTGTCAATGTTTTCACCGTTGTTACTGTTGTCACCGTTGCCGCTGTTCTCACCGTTGCCACTGTTGTCAGTGTTGTCGCTGTTGTCACCTTTGTTACTGTTGTCGCTCTTGTCACTGTTGTCACTTTTGTCAACGTTGTCGCTGTTGTCACTGCTGTCACCGTTGTCACTACTGTCAGTGTTGTCGCTGTTGTCACCGTTGCCACTGTTTTCATCGTTGTCACTGTTGTCACCGTTGTCACTGTTGTCACTGTTGTCAGTGTTGTCCTCATCTCCCCGGTTGTCGCTGTTGTCGCTCTTATTACCGTAGTCATTTTTGTCACCATAGTCACTGTTGTCACCATTGTCACTGTTGTCGCTGTTGTCACTGTTCTCATTGTTGTCGCTGTTGCCACTGCTGTCAAAGTTCTCACCATTGTCGCTGTTGTCACTGTTGTCGCTGTTGTCACTGCTGTCACTGTTGTCACTGTTCTCGCTTGTGTCATCGTTGTCACTGTTGTCACTGTTGTCGCTGTTGTCACTGTTGTCACTGTTGTCAGTGTTGTTGCTGTTGTCACTGTTGTCAATGTTTTCACCGTTGTTACTGTTGTCACCGTTGCCGCTGTTCTCACCGTTGCCACTGTTGTCAGTGTTGTCGCTGTTGTCACCTTTGTTACTGTTGTCGCTCTTGTCACTGTTGTCACTTTTGTCAACGTTGTCGCTGTTGTCACTGCTGTCACCGTTGTCACTACTGTCAGTGTTGTCGCTGTTGTCACCGTTGCCACTGTTTTCATCGTTGTCACTGTTGTCACCGTTGTCACTGTTGTCACTGTTGTCCCTGTTGTCGCTGTTGTCACTGTAGTCAACGTTGCACACGATTGTCACTGTTGTCGCCATTGTACTGTTGTCACTGTTGTCATTGTTGTCGCTTTTGTTATCGTTGTCATTGTTGTCACCGTTGTCACTGGTGTCTCTTTTATCACTGTTGTCAATGTTGTCACCGTTGTCACTGTTGCCACCGTTGTCACTGTTGTCGCAGTTTTGAACATGAGTTAACTTATAATTCGCAGAAAGGTAAAGGAACCTTCTTGAAAATGTCTGACTATGTTTGATTCATCCTCCAAGTTCGAGAATCCTTAGTTAACTGTTCTTGTTACCTCAAGTGATTTATAGTTACTTTGAGGCTTTAAGACTGCACACGTTTTGAACCTAGCCCCAAAGCTTCGGTTAAGTGCGAACCAAACATCTTGTTTGCGTGAAGCCGCTGAGCAAGCGCAGACACCTCAGGAGATTGTTCCAGATTCCCAGTGGTTGGTATCTTCCCCCGCCTCCGTGTCGATTAAGAGATGGTTGTAGTTCGCGAAACCCTGGTCACAAGTTCCAGCCCGAAAACGTAGTAGATCTTGACATGGAACCAGACTGGTTAAGGGGAGAAGATCTACACTCCACGTTGCAACTACCTCTTGATGGAGACAGATGAGGCTACTAGCCACCGAGAATCTGGGGCGCGTCACAGTGGCTTCACACGCTGAAAAAGTCTCGCGGGACTTAACTTAACGAAAGCGTTATGACAAGCTTAAATGGTTGTGTTATTTGTTTTTTTTTTCTTTTTTGAACAGCTGTCAACCAAACGACATGTATCTTCTGCAGTGGATATGGTCCCCTTCCCTGTAGCAGCGTTTTTGTGTTTCCATGTCCTTTTCACTGTTACTCGTTAAAAGGAATCTTAAAGTACTACATTGTTGATCAAGTTATTACAACTCCCATAGAGTTGCGCGGATGCATCAACTGTACAGGTAAAGCTTTTTTCATATAATTGCCTAAAAAGTTCAGCCATCAATTTTAACGGATCTTCTGTCCTATTGATAAAAAAGGCTTATTGCTAAAAAAGTAACCGACCAATGCGACGGCAGCGTACGCCCAAGCGCTCGTGCGTACGGCTGTGCAGACTTTAGGGGAGTGGTGGATGGAGAGTCTTTTAGGGAGGGGAAGGGAGTCGCAGACATGCAGCTTGCGTTTGGTCATGCCTCACGACCATGGGAAAAAACATAGCTGAACAGGTTAGGGAAAAGAAGTTCTCAGTATGCCCATCCAACGAAGTCTTTTAATACAAAATGAGAATCGAGCGCTATCGATTGTTTTAAACTCGTTAATAAAATCTTGTCACAGTAACAAAAAATCCTAATTCGGCAATAGTCACGTGACTGATGACGCCATTACCTTAGATGTGACGTGGAAAGATATTTTATGGCAAAAACGATCTTGTTGTGGTCTGACAGTCTTCTACCTAAAAAAAAAACTATAAATAGTCAAAGTTATAAAGATAAAGCTTTTTAAAAAATTGCCTCAAAGGATTCTGGGTTTTTTTTTATGATAATTATAATTTAATTTTAAAATTATCTCTAATGTAATACCATAATACAACATAATAGCCGAGCCCATTCCTTCGGCCTAGGCTTAGAATGAGGTAGAAGTCTATTTCATGGAGAGTGCCTTTCTTAGGATGCGAGGTGTTCCAAGTAGTGTTATCTTCTGTAGTTCATGTATTTTGATGTTACCTGGGATCTGTTGTATATATTTTTCCAACCCTTTCTTAATTAGTCCCAGAGCCCCTATCACTACCGGAATTGTTGTAGCATTCATCTCCCACATTCTTTCAACTTCGATTTCAAGCTCTTTGTATTTTAAGAGTTTTTTCAGTTACTTTAACTTAATGGACACATCAATGAGCAGGCAGTTTTTTTCTTGTTTGTTCTTGATTACAATGTCTGGTCTGTTGGCCTTTATCTCACGATATGTGTGTATTGGCATATCCCACAAGATTGTAATGTTGTCTTTTGCTGTTACGGTTTGGGGCTCATGTTCGTACCATTTCTGGTTTGTGTCTATATTCATCTCTTTGTTCTTGAAAAGCCCCTTTGGGTAGGTAACAATAAAGTATGTATGTATGTATGTATGTATGTATGTAAGTTCCAGTGAACGTTGTGGCTTTATTGCGTCTGTGTAGGTATTCAGTTTTGGCCAGCTCAGGGCACCCTGCCACAATATGGTCAATAGTTTCCTGAAATTGACCACAAATTCTGCACATTGGGTCTGATCTGTACCATCTTTTAGGATCTTGCAATTGCTACTATAGTAGTTGCTCTTGACGGCCTGATCGTGGGCATTAATGATAAAGCCCTCTGTTTCGGACTTGCGCCCAGCTCTCTTAAGCCATTGGTTGGTCATTTGATAGTCCACATCTTCAAGTCTCCATTACTATTTTTGGGTATTGCCCATGCACTGGTTTATCTTCCCATTTTTGTTTCAATTGATCTTGGGCATGGCGCTTTGCTTTCTGTTTACCTTTTCTGGCATAGACATTTGGAGCTTCAATCTCAGGTTCCAGTGTTTCATTGAGGTTGAGCTCTCTTCTGAACATTGTAGCCTGGCTAGATACGGAGTACCAGTAAGGTACATTCTATCTACGTCAGCTTTTGGGTGGTGCATCCTTTGTAAGGTGCGTAATTTTCTCGTTTTTCTATCTAGTTGTCTGATCCCTTCCATTTTCCAGTCAACAATGTTAACGCTGTGAGCTACGACTGGTATAGAAAGTGTGTTGATGGCTTCCACTCTATTAACCGCATTGAGCTCAGAATACCATTAGTATTCTTCGATAATACTCCTTTTTAATCTTTTCTTTCATTTTGGCGTGTTGTATCCCGTCCCCTTCATTCCCTCCCAGGTATTTGTATGCACCTTCTTGCTCTAGTTCTTGGATGGTGGTGTCAACGTCAATTTGGATGTTTTCTGTTGTGGTAAGTTTTCGTTTTTTGAATTTAGGTTTGGAACATTTGTCTAGTCCAAACTCCATTTGGATATCGTCAATGAAACCTTTTACGATGGTCAGAAGGCCAGTCTGTTCTTCTTCTTCCTCTTCTTCTTCTTCTTCATTATTATTATTATTATTATTATTATTATTATTATTATTGCTCCGCAGGGATTAGGAATCATTGTAGCTCGCGCGTATGTAAAGATTATTACTTACAGTTAGAATATGAAGTTAGTATACCAGAAAAAAATCTCGATTTGCTTGAACAGGGGCAGCACGGAATCATTGAGTAATGATGACGTTTTAGCCCTAAACAATAGTGAATTTAAGCAACTGGACGGGGGAGGAAAGAGGACGGCACACCTTGTGCGACAAGCGTGACAATAATTTTGTTTGAAAAAAACCTTCCGCCAAACTTGACATTCCTTTAGACAGATCTTTTTGTGGAAGAGCAAAAAAAATCAATGTTAAGTGAATTCCCGACAAAACACGCAAGTAATAGCCCCGTCACGTTTGTCATACTCAAGCGTTTTGCCGTCCTCTTCTTTCTGCTGTCCTGTTGCGTAAACTCACTAATGCTAACCGCCCGACACCCGCAAGTAAAAAATGGTTAGGATGACGTAAGACAGAGAATGCCCGAAAGGACCGCTTGGGTTGAATTTTTGACTTTCTTTGTTTAGTCATACTTCAATACTCTTGCGTTTAATACGTGATCTTGTATCACCCGTAAATGTAATACTAACCATAAATGTCATAAAAGTCAACCATAAATGTAATAACCACCATAAATATAATAAAAGCCTACCGCAAAGGTAATAATTTGCTAACCATAAATGTAATAAAGTTTTAAAAAATATTTCACTTGTTCGCTGCGTTGTCAACACTCGAAGAGAAATTTCGTATCTCCGCGTGATATCCTCTATATCCATAAATGTAATAATCTGGCTCACCATAAATGTTATAAACTTTAGCCATAAAATAATGTAAAAAGTGTAGGAAATCGTATGAATTCGAGTACATTTCGTTATTTATTGCACAAGCTCAGGGACGTTTTGAAAGTTATAAAATTACATGAGCCATTGACATAGTTAAGAATAATCTTGTCCGCCTGTCAGCCAATTTTGCATGTGTTTTTATTTCACGTGTCTTCGATATCCTTTCCAAAGAAACTTTGGTATTGCATAGTATATCTTCAGGAGCCCTCCTGATAACCTTTGTTGGCACTCTATATAAAGCTCTTACTGCTTTTCCCGTTGACCGATCAGAACTTCATTTTTGGTTTAGTTATTATTATAAATGGATTGTAATCGCGCGTATGGGAATATAAGGAGATGAGCTTGTAGTGAGAGAAGACTAGTTTCTGCCACATCCATTTTTACGAGTTCAACGTGCCTGCTGAATATGACAAACAAGTGCTATTTACTTTCTATTTTTAAGAACGCATTTATTTTTTAAGTAAACTTTTCAAATATCTTGCCATTTTACAGGAAGGCACCTGTAATTTAGGCTGAAGGTCCCAATTTCAGAGACTTGAAATGCTCAGTAGAAATGCTGAAATGCTTCATCAGAAATGCTTCAAATGCTTCATCATATGAAGAATTTACACACAGATGTTTGTTTAACCGTCTTACACAACTTTATAAGTGTCTTTGGTCTGTGTCCTCTTCTAGCAAGAGGTAATAAATAAATGAACACTTTAATGCAACATCCCCCCTGCCCCTTTCATAAATAGTTCTACTGAGTCCTCTATGTCTTTCTTGTCTCAGACTGTATCGGTTTTTCCTCTCAGGCGACATTTTACGTAGAAATAAAACAATGCTCGAATCACCCAATCCCCTCTGGTTTTCATAACAAAAACATGCTCTTTAATTATTATAAAAACATTTATCTGGCAACTGTCAGGCAGTCATAATCTTCATTTTATGATAATTTTCCATTTGTTACGGTTATGGTCAAAATTTATTACATTTATGGTGAGCCAGATTATTACATTTATTTATTAGTATTACATTTACGGATGATCATTACATTTATGGGTGATACAGACTGTGTGTTCAGTGAAATTCTGTGGAACAGCTGTTTTGACTGCAGTATTACCTTAAAGTTCCGATAGTAACGACTCCCCGAAAGTAGCGACCCCCCAAATTAACGTCAATTTTTTGTGGCCGCTAGTAAATCCCGAACGTAGCGCCTCCCGAAAGTAGCCACCCCCCTCCCCACAAAGTAGCGAGACCAAGTTTTTTTGTATACCGTGTACCTTTAATTTGTCAATCAATAGTCAAAATTTTAATGTACAATTATACGTTCGTGCAGTATCACAAATTGTTCACGAAAAAGCACTTTAATTTACAACAAGGGGAAGCTTTATGCCCCCATTTGTCCTCGACATCAGTTCACCGATGTAGCGATGTAAGAACTACCGTAAACCGGCATAATTTCGTATTAACAACAGGAATGTGCCTTCAAATTGAAATTGAAAACTCTATATAGTTTTCGTCGATTAACATGAACATGTTTCTTCCAATTAAATGACACTGAGATACCGGTACGGGGTACAGACTAAAACGCAGCGGTGCGTCATGCAGGACAATCGAAGCAGTTTAGCTTTCCACCTCTGAGTCAGTGAAGAACTCGATCTCCTCTATATCGGCTGATTCACCCATGCGGTAGTCCGGTAAACCATCGATATTTATTTCACTGTCCCTGCTACCGGAAATGGCTAGTGAAATTCCACATTTCACAAATGAACGGATAACTGTGTCTTTCAGCCGGCGCGAGGTCTCTTGCCATGCCGTACCCACCCATTTCGTGAAAAGCACACGTGGCTAGTCTGTCAACACTTTTCTTAAATTCCGCATTAAATGTAACATCGAGTGGTTGAACCTTGCTCGTTGCGACCGGAGGTACAAGCCCCAGTATCGTCTGGCACTCTTGCGTCAGAATGGTCTTTACTTTTTCTGTTGTTTGAGCTCTATGCGCATCATAGATAAGAAGTCTATCGCGTGGTTGACCAGACATGTTTGGCTTCTTCCACATATTTCTGAGCCAGAAGACCGTCATTTCCTCGTTGCACCACGCGTTCTCTTGGAACTTGACCACGACCCTTGGATCATACTGCCTCTTTTCTCTGTCTGGAATTCTTTGTCCTGTGCCCTTAAAGATCAACAAGGGTTTCATGCGAGGCTCACCATCGGCAAATATGTCAGTTGCACGGTACACTGTCTCTTATCATGGCCTTCACCTGTCGTCCGAGTCCATATTGACTTTTCTCCTTTTTCTCCATAAGTAGCTCCCTTCGCTTTGAAGCAGAATTGCAGAGGTGTCTGATTCATATTAGCTACATCGTGTAATTCCCAGGGACCTACAATACCTTCTTGGACACCTTTCAGCTCAGTTGCTTTAACCGTTGCCATTCTTCTGAGATATCTGTGAAATTGTTGAAAAGAGGTACGTAGTGTTTCAGACTGTTTCTGTGCAGTATTTGTTGGCCGCCGCAAGCTGATATCATAGCGTGATTAAAGCGATCAAACCAGTGGTTTGACATTTTGAATTCCATTCCTGGAAGCAGCTCCGCCATTAACTGTTTGCATCGACTTCGGAACCACCATTACTTAACCTTGACATCTTTCCCACGTAGTTCCTGGAATTCCTCAAATAATCTCTTCTCTACGTCCGGAAAGCTGCATGCCGACCAGCTCCTGCCTTTTTCGATTATTACTTTGAATTTCTAAGTTTATGTTCTTGGTTGGTCCATGGATTATATGTGCATTATATGTGCATAATATTTCACTTCGAACTTATAACGAGCTTTAAACTCTTTAGCGGCCTTTGCCTTAATTGTTCTTGTGTTTCATGTAGAGATCTATGAACTCGAGCTTTTGTTCCCTTGTCCACTGCTTTCTCTTGTCAGGGGCCTTGATATCAGTACCTTTGTTGTTACTGTTCGTTGTTGCCTTAAGGGCTCCGGAGACTGCGCCGGTTGAACTATGCTCATTTTCTGTTTCAAACTGAACTGGCCTGGTTACGTTGGAAGCCTCCATATCCTCTAACACTGATTCATCCTCGGTCTCAACACGACAGCCGGCAATGGCGGTATTGTTGAATTGGTTACAAATTCCAACCTTACTCATGGGCTTATATTCTGGCTCATCTTCAGGATTCTGAATTTCGGCAGCACACAAAACACAAACGGTTGTCTCGCATCGTATACATTGATATTTTGTTGCCCTTGCACATAGGTAAACGTTCTCCACATTTTCACCGAAGAAAGACGAGAACTCCATGCCACGTGAAAACGTGACCAAATGTCTATCATTTTAGCGGATGTCTCGAGAAATAGATGTAATCAACAGGAAGTAAGTTTCATGGGTTCGAAAGGTCACGTCCTTGGGTTGTGATTGGTAGATTTCGATCCATTCATATGTCAACACAAGAATATACAGAGACAAGACCCTCGCATCAGCATCAGGGAAGTGTACTGTTCAAGTGAAAATTGATGACCAATGGCTTCTATTTACCGCCGATTATGCACAATTACTTCACGTATCAAGGGAGATCATTGCTATCGCTCAAATCCGCGAATTAATGAAGTCTGCAACTGCATTCCCGAGCCTTCCAACGCATATTCACATAACGCAATAGTGGAGAAGTTGAAAAACACAAACGGCAGCGAACAAGATGCGACTACAGTTGGAAACGTGACTGATAGTCTAGCGGAGGTCCTGTACAAGCCATTGCTCGAAAAGGAAATCAAGATGACTTGCCGTTGTTGAAGGCACAAATGTAATAACTGGTCACAAATGTAATAAAGGTCACAAATGTAATAACATTTGGTCACAAATGTAATAAAGGTCACAAGTGTACTAACATTTGGTCACAATTGTAATAAACATCTAAATTAAGCTAAAACAAAAATCACAACGAAATCTAAAATCCCACAGAGGACATTCTCTCCTACGCTTTTACACCACACTGTGCACGAGTATAAAATTTTCAAAAATTTAAAAAAATTCAAAAGATATCACATCAAATCAAAGGTGAACTGAATAGCTAAAATGTCACAGGAAATTGTATAGGTAAACTCTTTCCTTAGGGGATATCACGAGAATGTAACTGGGTGGGAACCAAGATTGGGAGACTTTTATACACTCATGCCGAACCTAACAATATAAAGGATCCAAATGCGGTGTCAGTGGCGGGGGCAAAAAAAAAACGTTCTGACGATACAACAATCGAAAGGTCAGAGTCAACAGGAAACGAGTAAAGAGAGTTGGTGTAGAATTGGCTTTAAGGTTCCTTGTGAATATGAGTTTGAAAGTGACATTTTTTTATTTTTGGCTGCAACGGAAACTGGAAAAAGAGAAATTCGACGTGTGCTCTAGTAGGCCCACCGCAGAGAAGTGTAATGGTCTGTAATTAATACCGGCAGATTACAATGTGATGCTGCGTTTGATGAGTTGTGAAAGAAACTGGACAGGCTACGCTTGTCTTAAAAGTATAACAATGGATCAATTTGTCGAAATTTGGACCAGTTGTTTCTAAAGAAGAGCGAAAATCGCGAACAAAAGACCAATGCATCACCCTGACGAGTTTGCTTGGGTCGCAGGTTAGGTGTGTTTTTCGGAAGTGCGTTTTTTTATGCCGTCATAAACCAACTAGCAAGTTTACATGTAATTCGTATGAGGGTAACCTATCGTGCTTAACCAATTCTGGTCTCCTTCGCAGCCGTCCGTCTGATGCCATCAAGAAGAGTTATTTGTGGCATTTTCCGGCCTCTTTCTCGCTTAAAATTAAAGGTTCCAAACTATTTGAAACTTTGCATACCTGTCGGGTATTACGCTGGTCGTGCTGTTCCCAAAGCTTAATAAAGTAATAATAGCTTGCGAAGCTCGGACAAATGACTTTCACCGTCCACTCAAGTTTTGCCTTTCGCTTTCCCCTCCCTACTTCTTTTAGTTCTCTTCACTTCCCGCCGTTCTTTACGTTTTTCTTAGGCCCTTTTGACTGAAATGCCCCTTTTTTAGATATGATTTGAAAGTCATCTTTGCCCTGCACAATTCAGTCTTCAAAGTTATATTATATTACCTTTAATTTATGTCTCTGAGTGAGTTACTCTTTTTAAATTGTTACGTTGGCAATTATTACATCTGTGACCAAATATTATTACACTTGTGACCTTTATTACATTTGTGACCAAATGTTATTACACTTGTGACCTTTATTACATTTGTGACCAGTTATTACATTTGTGCCTTCAACAGCCGTGTATCTGGCCAAAGCAGGAGTGCACCTGAAGGTGTACGGGTTCAAGGAGGAGACATCGAGATTCCTTGCGTTTATGAAATTGGCGTCAAGAAAGGACTTAGAAGTCTAAGAAAAGAACTGAGAGACAAACTAATACAACTGTCCCGACCACTGACAATGCAATCTAGGAAGACATCCGGAGTCCACCCACGTCGCAGTTAAATTATGAAACTGGATAGACGATTTTTGTCTCATTTGTTTATTGGTGTTGATATAGATTTATTTTATTATTTACCGTATTGCTGTATTGATCATTGTTACCTTCTTTTAATAAAACACAATCTATACATATGGAATGCAAATAAAATGTTGTTATTTTTTAAATTTAATCAATCAATCAATCAATCATTTATTTTGCCATTAACCAGAAATACAACAACAGTATACAGAAACACATTAAAGATAATATACAATATTGCAACTAAATTATTTACAAGATCAAATGTGGTAAAGGCAAGGAAGCCTATATAGAAGCCGGGGGCTTATAAACTATGGGCCATGTTGTTCATTTCTTATTTTCGGAAAAAAAGCTCGCACCAGCTCTATTTGTAAACATTTTTTGTTCCCCGAAAGTAACGACCCCACGAAAGTAGCGACCCCAAAGGCTGCTAATTCCGAAAGTAACGAGGGTCGCTACTATCGGAACTCTACGGTAAAGCAAAACTAAAATTTTCATTTCTACCTTGTTTGGCATTTTGCTCTCTTAAACAAGCATGAAAAACTCACAGACCACGAAAGAGACAATATCGTGTTATGGACCGAAAGACGGTAAGCGCGGACTTACATGTAAGTTATAAGGGGCGTATAACTGTGTATATGCTCCTGGAGGATTTGCCAGACACGCCGGTTTATCATTCACGAATCTTTGATCGGCAAAGATTCAAATTTTGTAGACGCGAATTACTTTGGGGGCCGTGAATATACGACTCAGTCCACTAACAAGCAAGTTTTCCTAAGCCGACCTACGAGTGAATCACGTTAGTTTATCAGCAGAACAATGGAAGATTACTTTTCCCTGCGAGTAGGTTGCAGAGGAGTCTGAAGTGCATAGTCCGTAATCCTTTTCGCTCGGCAGCTGGCACCGCGAAAATGTAGACGTTGCTCGCTAGGTAGACGATTACAGAAATTCGCCGAGAAATAATTTCTGTGCTGATCTATTCCCTTTTCAAACATGTCCCTCTACGAAGCTTTTTTTATGCGTAGTATTCTCTTAACTGCCGTTTAAGTTAAAAATATGACTACAACGTGAGTGTCTAAAAATTCTCGAAACGTTTAGAGTGTTTTGATAAAGCTGCGTAAATCGCCCTGAAGCAGTGCATGGAATCTTGCATTGCCTGCTTTTATCTTACCTACTGTATGTAGCATGTGTGAAAATCTTTAAAATGAATCCAGATCCAATCTGATAAAATCGATATATATTTCAATAGACCTGCACAAAGATCAAGGCGGGATATACAATTGACCAACTACATACAAAGAGGGGGCAGCTTTTAGTGTCAACTATTACTACAATTGTCTGAAAATTCTGGGTGTGGCCGTGAAAGGTCAAAACTCGACGACTTTTGTCAGTAGAAACGTCTTCAAAGAACACTCGTAAACAGTACTCTGTTGAAAAAAAATATTTGCCGTACCTTGTTAAGACAGTTTTTGGCGCACACGCCTGTTTATATTCGGCATGTTTTGCAACCCGGTAAGTCCAACTATTGCTCTTTCCGGAGCACAGGAAGAGGGCCAAAATACAAATGAAAGACTATTTTCGGTGAAAACTATTGACTGTAGCATAGGCTGATATGCTCCAAATCTTAAAGCAAGATATAGTGCGTTTACCACTTCCCGCAAAAATCATTCGGATTGTGACAGTGTAGCTGACATCTTCCTTAGCAGTTCCCCCATTCTTTACAACATTCAGCACATGCCAATTTGCCAGGCGAGCAAACTATGAGGCTGAGTGGAGATTTGCCGAATTCTAGAGGCTACTTTCTCCGGCTGAATAACTCTAGTTAAGCCCTTGTGGCACTTCTTTTCGAAACTGGTTTCAGAAAACGACAACAAAGTACGCTGTTGATTTAAAATAAGGCGTCTATTGGCTTCGTTAATCTAATGAAAAAGGGTAACACATGCAAAGTCATCACACACCACATTACTCCATTTTCGTAGCCGAAAATAATTCCTTTATAGTAGCGCTAACGACAAAATAGCCTAATTGACTTGTTCTGGGCTTTGCAAGGACTTAACCAAACGAATTTTAATAGATATTTTAGCTTAATTCTAAGTAAAATACAACAGTACTCCATGGATAGCGTTAACTTTGCTAATTGGCCTTTATGGGGCACTGTTTAAATGGAGTAATGTTGGGAATCATTTGTTAAATTTATCTCCGTAGATAAATGCGACAAAAGCTGTCCATACTCTTACACGATTTACATGTTTTTACCCTTTTCTTTTTTGAAAGTTGGTTCATTGTGCATATATTTCGCATTTTCTTGTGGAGTAATGTGATGGAGTAATGTGGAAACCCATGTTGTTTACTGTTCTCAAATTAACTGAATGATTGACAGGCGACGCTAGCACAGCAATTTCTATATGAACACTGAACATGGCTGAATGAACTCTTTTATAAAGGTTCCGTATAACTTTCAGGCCTTACGAAAATACAGTCTAGAAGGTTTTAATTCAGCACTTATCTCACTCCTTCCTCGCAACTACAAACGTCACGTTTTTCTAGGATACTTTAACACCGTAAGAATGCCAAAAAAAACTTTATTGTGGCAGCCTTTATGCCATTTCTATTTGTAACATCTTTCAAAATATTTCGCTGATAGGAAACGGCAAAAGTTTACCAGGAATAATGCCGCTGATGAAAAAGATACATGTATACATGACAACGACAGCAATTGTATAGCATTTTTTGCTTAAAAATACCCTCATGACTTTTCGTTAAATCTAGTGAAACAGACCACCTGTGGCCATTCTTTCTATGAAGTCCACGCGAAGAAAATGTCTCTTGGTTCATGAGAAAAAATTAAAGGCCTTAAATGTTTTCTTCTGACGTTCTTAAAAGAAAGCGTTTTCACCCAGTGGACTTTGTGGTCACGCTGTGAAATGTCACGCACGTCAGATGCAAAATTCTCCTATTTATCATTTTACTCAAATATAACCTTTATAGTATTTTTTATATACTTTGGAAAGTGCATTATCAGCACAGTTCCAGGGCGAGATATCTCAATCAAATGTTAAATGCGACAAGTTTTATAAGCGTTTAAAGTTGATTTCCTATTCTCCTACAATCATCGTCAAAAGTGTTGGGAAGGTTGCCTTTTTTACCTCTTCTTTTCCTTCCTCCCCCCGCCCCTGGCCCAATGTTGATCAAAACGTTAATGTTTGTGCGCGTAATTGTTCTGTTATATCCCAACATTGACAGGGGGGACGGGGGATATTTAGCAAAAGAGAAAACTCTCTTTTTTTCAGGATTAAAATGGACTACTCTTAAGTTGTACAGCCTTCCCAACTACTTTTGTCTGTGATTGTAGTTACTGTAACTCGAGATCAAACCAGGACCTAAAAAATATTGTTTAACAATAGTTACATTACATAATGGTATCCAGAAAAATAAGAAAACACAATGCCTACAGAGAATATCACCACAGGGGCTATAAGGAACTTGGTTTTCGACTAAATAAATGTTAAATTTTTGTTTAATAAAGTTGGATTACTTTTGATTACTTACATTGAAGTAGATTTTCGTCCTTTCATGTCCATTTTGCCCGTTTATTTATTGTCCAAAATCCTGGAAACATGGTTACTTTGTTTCGATTTAGAAGTCGATATGCATTCTTTAAGTCTTGGTAATCGAGCTTCTCTTCGAATCCTGAGGCGCCCTTATTTAGTCGAAACCCTTGTTTCCTATAACCCATGATTACAATGGTTATGGTTAGTCAAACTTCGTAGTAAAAGCGAAGGGTTAATTGTGAATTGATCACACATTTTTTCTTTCAATAGTCTTTATATCGTTACTTTATTTCAGACAAAGAAGCACTCTGTTTAGCCTTAAATGCAAGCTTTGCACTTTCAAACATCACATTGCTAGCCTGTAATGTTGACTGTTGTCATGGCAACCTCTGTAACAATCAGAACCTCACTGGTAAGTACAAAATGTCAGAGACGCAAAAGAAATGTGGGCTGAGTGATAGCCGATGCGCGTGAAAGAAGGTGGCACTCGCGCACAAGCAGCGCCAGCACCGCTTTTTCTTGCGTCTTCATTTTTTCTTGAACCTCAGTGCTACGCGCGCAGTCTTATGCACGTAAGTTACATAGTTTGTATTCGTATCACCATCAAGCCTCTTTTCAAGTAGCAATCAGATTCACCATTATGAAACTCGACTCTCATTGATAGTCGTCTTGTTGCTTAAGTTTTATGTTTTCTGTACAGTCTGCACTCAAGTAAGTAACTAGTAATTTAGCTTAAGGAAGCCTTTTAATAGCCCTTTATTTAGCCCTCCTTGACACATTGACTTACATTTTAATTAACGCCGTTTGTAACGTTCTATTATATGTTATGTGAGTGACTAAAAATCAAATAAATCAAATAAATAAATAAAACAGAATACAGTTGCTCTGTTTTCGCCTTGACTTTTTCAGGTTATTATTCGCACCATAGGTTTTTGCTTACAAACTCAATGGTTAGAACCAGCGTTCACGAGACTTCATCATTTACTCTAGCAATGAAATGATCAAGAAAATGCGTTTCTCCTCGTTTTCGTAAAGGCATTTCGTCGTTTATGTTACATGCCAGACGACACAAATACTTCGATCCGCATACCGCTTCTTTTCTCTGGCACTTCTAACATATGTGTTAGTATTTATTGGTATTTTTAGCGCATTGTTCTAAAATCTGTGGAATTCGAGAATGACGGCCCGCAAAAAAACAAACAAACAAACAAGAAACAAAATATGCCACCCCTTACTCTTTTTATACTTTTTGTTTTTTTTTTTGTTTTTCATCTTCTTTTAAGCTGAATGTTTTAACGGAATATTGGACATAATATTTTTTTGGCAGCTGTCAGTCAAAGATGTTATCATTGCCTAGAAGATGCAGGTTCGGG